AATAGAGGTTGAAAACCCGCATTACTTTCCGAACAACCTAATAATTGCCGCGTTGAGGCTTGAAAATTAGGAAGCGACGCTTTCATCCACTCAAGAACTGCTTTTAGCATCAGTTACGGAAAAGTCCATTCTTCTGAGCCTATAATTTGTGCGCAAAACAAACTAATGGAAGCTTTATAATCAAGTACACTCTCCTGGAAAGTATACCCATCTCAAAATCGGGGTGGTAATTTGACTTTTCCTCAAGACAATCCCTACTTTATGTATGTGGTCATTACGTATTAAGTAGCAATGCACTTGCTGCACTTGCCATTGTGCTCGTCCAAGCCGGTTATTCCGTATGGTGCCGCCTACGGTAGCTTTGGAGGCCCATTGTGGATTGGACTCTGCTCTATTTTTTCAGTTTTAACTGTTGTGAGTGACTAGCCACCTTTCCAAGAACGAATAGGAACTTCTTTTTGAGTTCATCGCGCTAGCTTACTACTATGGTTGCGTTTCAAGGATCCTTTTTGAATCTTCTAAACCACTTTGAAGGCTGGTTTTGTAATCAGCAGTAGCTTCGAGGGTGATATTTTATTTTCACAACATGGAGGATGAAAACTATGGTGAAGTGTGCTCCAGTGATTAATCGCTCATAGAAAATGAAATAAACAAATTTATCATTAGATCTTTATCAATCGATGAGCAACGTGTACTGGGAGAGGTATGTGAGGTATTGTTCGAAAGAGTCACCCATAGCCAGAATTCAAGCTTCCAATCTCTTGAAGAAAGACTCCAGACGCAGATTAAGGTGCGAAGAATTCAATGCAGGGTTAAATGTTTCGTTGAACAATTTTTAAAAGTTTCACGACTCCTCCACTAGAAAGTCTCGACACCGCCCTCTCCCCTTCCTCCCCAGCTCTTATTATGTATACCGCCAAGGAAAACTATTAACTTTACGGGAATTAAGTGCAAGGTTCAAAAAGTTACAAGCATAGTAATATAGTATTACCAGCATTATCTCGAATTCGAACTCAAGTAGACCGAGCTCAAGTCGTATGCCGATAAATGAACTGCCCTCATTGTAGCTGCACAGTTTGTATGCCATGTCAGAGCATGATCTACTGCAGAAGTATCCGAATTAAGCGCCGTCGCGTCACGTGTGCATTGGCGCACACAATCTTCCCCTCATCGTGGCGCAGACTGATGCGAGACTGATGCGGAATACCAATTTCCATTTAAAATAAATTCTATTAAAAAGTAATATTTTTGAATTACTAGGTAGATTTTCAATCCGCGAAGGGCCTCTTCTAGGAACTTAGCAGGATTCTGCAGGATGTTCAAAACTCTGTTATGGAGTAGAGACTTACGAAATCACAGAAATGCGCACTTCTTCATTCGGAAGGATATGATTTCCTTCAAATAAGAAATCGTGAGAAACGGTGAGGAAATTTCAAAACTCTGAACTGTTCTCCCTATAAAAAGATTTCAAACATTTTTGAAGTTTCGTTTCTTCAAAAAATCGCCCCAACCCGAATGGACCGTTTTTTTTTGTGCACAAGGTTGGGTTTTTTGGCTTTTATTGACTACAACTGCTTTCATATTAATCCGTTCGCAATTCTCCTCCCTAGAAAGTCAAAAGCACAAACTGGAAGCTCAGAGCTTTCGAACAAACACTTGATCTCACTTCAAAATAGATGGAGTCCAAAGTCGCCCTGATGGATCGTTGTGGAGGATTTGCGGACCGATTTTGGCAGAGCGTTTCTTTTTTTGGATTAGAACTAAAACTATCCAGACTCACCTTTTTACGAATCTTCATCCCAGGAGATTACTAGGAGGTTGGAGCTCTCTGATGAATGTTTGACGTCGTTTTCCAAATGAACCGTTCATGAAAACGTCCGAAAAATTGGACCGTTTTTTGTGTTTACAGAGCTACTCTCTTGAAAATACGAGTTTCACCACTCAAACATCCACAGCTCTCTTCAAACTCAATTTTATGGGGAATAATGATACCATGACATCGCACAAGCTTTGTGCTTAATGTTGGAACCCCTTTTAGAAAGTCGCCGACAAGCAGATATTTTTTCCAAAATTTCTTGCACTCCTTTAGCAGTCAATCTACCTAGGTGGTCACTCTTTTAATTCGGTCCAGCTTAGAGACCTTGGTTTTCCTGTAAAGCGATACTTGCGCTCGTGAACAGTCAGAGTTGGATCTGACTTCTGACTGAAAGAATTCTGCTGTAAACTTTTCCTCTTGAGATGCGTCATGCACTCGTTTGTGGTTAGTAGATGGATGAGCGCTTGAATGTTAAACCGCTCACCTACTCTCGCGAGAGCTTGATTCTGATCGCTCAATGCTATGGGCCTGCGCCTAAGACTTTATTCGCCTCTGTGTAACATTTCTTCATTCCACGCATTGCGACGTTGAGTCTTGCGAATGCGAACCCCCCCCCCTTTCATCGGCTAAATACGACTTCCCCACACGTTGGACATGTTCCGGGGGACGGTTGACCATGATCCGATGGCCACATATCGTTATCTCAGAACTACAAAACCTGCAAGAGGCTTGCGAAGGCTACCGTCGCCAAGGCAAAGAACACGGAGATGGACGCCTTGTACGAGAAGTTGGAAAGCAGAAACGCAGAGAAGTTCGTCTTCAGGCTGGCTAAAGCCCGGCTACTCAAGACATCAGGGTGGTGAAAGTGTAAAAGGCAGCAATGGTGTCATCCTAAGGAAAGCCAGCCGAAGTCAAGAGGAGGTGGGAAGAGTACTTCAGAGGGCTTCTGAACGAGGAGTTCCCCACAAGAACAACTCACGGGCAGAGGCCACAGCTGGTCCCATCGCACTCTGGACAGAGGATGAGGTTCGGTGTGCACTTGGGAAGATGAAGGTTGGAAAGGCGGTTGGCCCGGTGGAGCAATCGTAAAGGCTTCAAACGCACTAGGAGCACGGGGCGATGCTTGGAGAACAAGTACTGTCGTCCCCATCCTCAAGCTGGCAGAAGGTGAGCTCAGACTAATGTTAAGAGGACCAAGTTCTAAGCTCTAGAGAGGGTACAGAACTTCAACACGGCGATGGCGAGACCATCGAAAGGTAGGGAACTTCGGTACCTTGGAAGAGATTTGGCAGTCGACGATGAGCCTGCGGCTGGACGCGGCAAAAAAACGAGGATGTCAGAGCGGTCATGCAGACTGCCCCTGTCCAGCTGAAGGTACGGGAACAGCGTCTGCGATGGTATGGGCATGTGCTAAGGAGGCCACAGGATCATCCGATAAGAACAGCGATGGACTTCGAAGTGCAAGGCAAGCGACCGCGAGGAGCCCCAAAAGAAGAGGTGGAAGACGTAATCAAGAAGGACCTAAGTGAGGTCACGGCCACGAGCAGAAGATGCCCTAGACAGAGCAAAGTGGCGACGACAGCGGACCCTGCGACTGCGCGGGACTAACGCTAGGGAGAAAGAAGAAGAAGAGGGAAATCAATGATGCTTCGCGCAAGTCCCTCCAGTACCCTCTTCTGCTGTCTGCTCCGTCTAGATTTACCTTCTTTTCGTCGCTTCAAATCGACTAGAACATGGAATAAACATTTTCAGTTAAAGGCTGCGAAGTGTCGTAATAGCCGTACCTTCGTCCAATCAGTTGGATTGTTTTACGTGGAGAATCGAAGGTGTGCGACTTTGGGTCTTGTAACCCATTTTATCGATTCCGCGAAGATGTCCTCTCTCTGTTGGGCGACCCTTCCCACGACGGTTTTGCTCACGAATTTCTCATTTCAGTACGGACCTTGATCAGCTATAGAGGGGGACACGTTAACCGTACTTAGAAAATAACGTGAACAGTGGACAAAATGATGCGGTTGTTCCATCCATTTGTTGAAGAACGTTATGGTTTCGTGAGTGTTGTCGGCAAACAGTCGTGCAGTGCTCTAGTTGCCTAGTGGATAGGGCGGAGGATTAGAGTGCACGATGTACATAGGTTGTTTAGTTCTTCTCCTCAGGGGCGCTTCACAATGATTGCAAAAGCACATTTCCATAATGAGCGTCACGTCCATGATCAGACCCCTAAGTAACTTCATTCAGATAAGTTTTCTTCTACAATTGGGGGAAAACATTGTGGTCCTGAAATGACGTCAATTGGCGAGTAAATGCGTTGTTCGTGTTCCGTACATTGCTTAACCCTATAACCCAAGTTCCGGTAAAACAACATCTTTACCTCATTTAGAATGATTCGACCATCAATAAAACCCGTTAGATGTTTCAGGATGTGTTGACCACGAGCTCAACGGGGAACTGGGAGTACGTCCTAGTGATTCAAACCTGAAAGTCGAGGTACTTCCCCGCAGTGCAAACCTAACACTACATGTGCTCTTTGATGCCGATCTAGCCGTAGGCAATAGGCTCTGCCATTAGCACGGCCGACATGACCCCGAAAAAATTGCGACTATTTGGCAAGGATGAGAACCTAAGAATACAGTCATTCTGCGTGGCTTCTCGACCATCACCAGCTTAGGTTTCTACCAGTTAACTATAAACAGAATTTTTCTATCGTGAAAACGGTGACGAAGAGCTCGCCTAAAGCAAGATGGGGCTGCTCATGGCCGAAGGTGCGCTAGTTCAGCTCCCTGGGGCTGCCAATCTCTTCTGACCTTCGCCTACGCCGCCTTGCTCCACCCCATAGTGTTGCTCGTCCTCATCTACGGTTAAGCATGACTGCAAGACTACTGCTGAAACAACGGTTCAGAGATGGATCGAAATTTTAATTCCTTTGAAACTTTACGTAAAAGGGTGCTCCAATGTCCTGATTGCTAATATGTCATTCGTTCTTGGCGAATGCGTCATCTGACGTCACTGAGCTCCACGTTGGTGCCATTTGTGCCAAGTTGAGCTGTAGATTGAGGTTCAGTAAAGCCGCAGTTCAGCGAAAAAGCTTCACTCGCTCCCACTGCCGTGTTTACTAGTAGTGATCACACAGTAGATTGATGCGAAGATCGAGAATGTCTGGAGACTGTTGCGCATTTAGGGTGCGATGCTGTACTACTCTTTTTCTGATACTGTCTTTATTGCTATAGTGTGGACTCTATCTTTGTGTGGTTTTATGATAAATGGATTTCTACTATTCATGATTGTATTCAAAAGTCCGGCTCATCTCTCGCCGTATCGCATTTTTCTTGCCAACACCGCCATCACACAGCTATTAGCCGACATTGTCTACGTTTTGATCTCGCCGAGGTAAGTTATCAAAAGATCAACCAAAGCGTACGTGGAATATGCTTGGTACTTCCTTGTAAAGCGAAATAAAAAGAGTGATAGAGATTAGCGAGAAAGTCGAAAACGCTGCACCGACAAGAAAACAAAGCAAAATAAAGGGTCAGCAGACGTTTTACTTTGTATTAGAGAGGGAATTAGCTTTACTTTTTGAAAAAAAAACTCAATATCGAGTAACTCATCACACATAAATAATTTTGTGCTTGAGCATCGTACAACAAAAGTGATATATAAAATTTGCATGACCAAGAATGAACAAAAAATCGCTGCTTGGAAACATTCTGCTCCTCTTCAACCTTTTTCTCCACTATTACAACCACCAACTCGTCAATCCGACTAGTATGTGCAATGTTAAATGGATTGTCGCAATAACAGAAGAAAGTTAGTCGAATAGTTGAACCACGACTGGGGAATAAGACATTCCAGGGCAGATATCGCGAGATAGGTTATAGTGGCTGTTATACGGCCTTCAGCGGTATCAGCTTTTCGATCCCTTTTGGAAGTAGTATCACAGTAAAATAGCATTTTCAACAGTATATCAAAATATATTGAAAACCTTAACACGTGAGGGTCATCATAGGAGGACTGATGCTCCCTCGCGATCTGCCTTGACCGCCCAACCGTGCAATCTTGAACTAGCTGAGCGCAATTGTGAACTGGTTGAGCTAATAGACATGCTGCGAAATCTTTCTCATCATAATCTTGTTAGCTGCTACTTTCATGCTCGTTCGGACAATGTCTCCGGAGAGAAATGCCTAAGACCTGTCATGATAATGCAATGGCAATCGCCGAGTTCACCGCCTTTTAAAGCCAAATTGTTTCTCCCCGTGGATAGAGAAGTGAGAATTGTAACTCTTTTTTCTTCGGAACCGTTCCGTGTGAGATAAGATCTTCATTTGAATTCTTGTCGCACTCCAAACGATATCCTATATTTATATAAGCTCTCTTTGCTTAGGGTTCTCTCAGGAGGTCTTTACATTGTGGTGATTTATCTAGGACCAAGCTATTTACTCGGAAAAGATGTCTGCCGTATGCTTTATGCTGCAATGGGTGAGTTTAACATTGGTTCGTTGAAGGTACTAATATGTGAGTGCAATACTGTGAACATCGCATTTCAGTACACCTTTCTTTGAACGCTTTTCTGTCATGGATGATTTCGATGGTTTATCGGTGCATTATACTGCTTGCGAGTGAAATAAAGACAAGAACAGTAATACTGATGTGCTTGACCGCCTATATCATCCCAGCGTCAATTATGGTAGCCAGCTTGTGTTTTTGGAAAAGCACTTCATTTTGAATCATGGGTAGCATTTCTTGACTATTGCAGTGCTCCGTCGCGCACTTCACAAAAATTGAATTTCAAAATATCATGCCTCTGATGTAGGTGTAAACTTCTGTTTAGTGTGGGAGTTGATTCGTGTGCCTGGCACACCATAAGATAAAATGTGAAGTTTACATCCGGAAGCCAGGAACTAGCAACAGCTTTCCCAGAGGTGCCCTATGTTTTGGAACGCACTGTACCTCTCTTGTTGCAACACAAATACAAAAAGTGGATTGCTCATCCAAAAACTCTTAGCATAGTCGATATTACTTTTTTGACGTCATAACTCTTCAGGTGACGTCGGCAAATCTTGATACATATGATAATGCCACAGAAGCTGACATACTAACTCATCGTGCTATACCGAACATGCAAGACTACCCTCTTGTGGTGATATCACACATTCTCCAGGTATCTTAACATCATTATATAATACTAACCAGTTTAACAATTCGCGTGCATCACCCGGGAATGCACTGGCATGAAACAGGCTCATCGATGTTTCTCCTAATCCCTCCTGACAAGCTCCGCCACCACATCTTATCCAATCCACCAAAATGACATAAAGTCCTTTCCTTCGCCCATCTCCATCCAATTTTTGATCTGTCTGCGAGACTTCGGAACAGAGTTATAACGTGCCGTTACAAACGCCTTCCACCGCTTCTTTGTCGCCGAGGCGCAAGATCGATCCCCAAGAAGCAGACCTTTGTGTGAAATGAGCGAGCCTGTCTCCACTCCCTGACCTCCATAAAATGTTTTGTGTTCAATTCTAGGAATTGCGCCATTTTTACAAAATAAGAAACATGTTTCGCTGTTATTCAAATTTTCTGTAATTCTGTGCGATGCATTCGGTAACGTGCATCCGTCGATTGGTTGGAAATATATTGCAGCACTGCCAACGTAACATTGCGAATGCGAAGCAGCAAACAAGTTTGTAGTGCTTTCAGTGTAGGTGAACTATACATATTGTGCACATGTTTTCTGAGTGCTGTTGGCCACTGGTGGTAATCTGTTTATGAAAAAACGTTTCTAGTGCATTTATCAGAATTTTCAGCCTGGTCTATTTTACTCTATTTCCTGTAGCACGGTTTTACTAATTCCGATCTATCTAACAATGTACGCATGTCGCTGGAAGATATATTCGGTATTGAACAATAAAGGTTATTCTTCCCAGACGAAGCTCAGTGTTAAACAGCTTGTAAAGGTCTGTTACTCTGTCTGCATCTTATCTTGTTCTATATCTATTTATCCATTTACGCGTATGTGAGTGTTACATCTGCAGTTGCGCTCAAAGCCTTCGGCGCCAAAAAATAAGCCTTCAGCGCAAGAAATGAACATTATCGCTTTTTGAAGGCTGAAAGCAACATAGAGTGCCGGAATGCGATAGAACCTGATCATCACAACTGACCACCATAAACCTTCACAAATGTTGGGTAAGCCTCACCCTTAGCTAAGATTACCAATGGATAAATCACAAAAAATGTGCACTATGATGTGAGGTACCGCGTGCACTGTGTGTATGATGTGGATTGCCTCATGTGCGTGTGACGCATTGTAACTGTATAACATTTTATGCCTTCGAGATAGAACCCTGCTGAGTGAACATCCCAATCAACTAACACTATCAATTACAAGTACAAAGGGGCACACTGCTTGTGGAAGGGGATTGACCACGGTCGCTCAAATTCAGCAGCGATGTAAAGTGGATGCGAAATCACTTTTAGTGAACTGGAGGGCATTATATCAAGATGACGGTCGATATTTTATGAGCGTTGGTGTGTCCGTCTCACTCGAATGAAGAACAGCTTTATCTTCCCGTCCTCCAAGTAGCGTTACAAACATATTTTTGACTTTTTTTACAGTAAAGATTTTCTCGTCGAAAAAAGCCGCGCTCGATATCTCAGCAGTGTATGGAAAGAACGTTCCTTGTGTGGTGATGAAACACTAAAGTCACTAAGAATTGCTAAGCGGACACCTCTAAATCACGAAGATTTTGTGTGGACGGAATCAATTGTTATTGGAAATACTCTGGCCTGGTATCGATTCGATCCTTAATGTTTGTCCTCCGACGATGATCCTACTGTATCAATCGGGCCCGATCTCTCCCCAGCGGGCCAATACGACCCCCCCTCTGTGACATGTCGAGGATTCCTCAACGCACGCTTGACCCTGGTGGGAGCGGTGTGCTGCAGGGGCAACCGTCGCTTACGCGACAGGTGTATTCGCTTTCCTCAGTAAGGTTGCTTGATCCGCAATCAGCGAGGTAGGCCATTTTTGCAAGCCTAAAATGCGTGGAAAGGACTGCAGGAGCTCAGAAATAATTCTGAGAAAAGTTTTCAAGACGTGCAAGTTTTCATGCTTTCAGATGCAAC